AGTTCGGGTATAGGTTATGGCAAAATAATTGTTATATTTAATCAGATATTCCTGTAGGAATGACAAGTACTGTAATCTCGATAATTTCTAAAATGTGTCAGTTTATACTAAGCCCCGCTAAAGCTTGGCAAGTATCGGTCAGATTTTGACAATATTTTCACACAAGGTTACCAATATGCCGAGGGTGGAAAAGCTTTGTGGTTTTTGATAATCCGTCTAGTGGCGCTGTAGTTACAAGCAAAAAACAAAGAGAATAAAAATCGCTCAAACCGCTTGGATGCCGGGGTCGATAGGATCAAGGGAGAGAATATTTCAATTTTTTGGTGCCAACAAATTACATGTTTCCAGCCCCAGCAATTCTACGCACCTATGACATATATTGTGTACTGCAGCAGGCAAAATTGCCACGTTGCCGGGTGACCGGTACCGTCGATAGCACGGTACGCTAGATCGTTATGTCAAATATGGGAAAACTATGGACTAATTGTATGAGCCTGTTCGATATTTAAATCCTTAACATGTTCAGGCAGCAGCGGTGGCCGCAGTAGTAGACTCTTCGGTCTCCTGATCAGTCGCCGTGCGCTGTGCGGGTTCGAGTCCCGTCCCAGGAGAAATTTTTCTCTTGGCTATGGATGTTGTGATTGTCCGTAGGTGGTAGATGGTCTCTGACTGTCGAACGCGGAGGTACCACCCGGCGGTTCTCGTAGGCGGAGCCAGAATGTGTGCATGTTGCATGCACACGTGTTCCCTCGCCAGAGTCCGTGTGGCGTCCCCCCTTTCCCATGTATCCTCCTATAGCCCCACGGTACCCAATGGGTGCTTAGGCCTTAGGCCTTCGTGGTAGTTGGAGTATAAAAAAAAATTAGCCGACCTTTTACTAACAGAGACTGACTTGTGCCAAATATAATCCCTTATGAATTGATGACAGCGTTGCGTAGGATGTGCATGGTCAACTTACTTGACGCCTTTTTTTTAGATAATACTCGTACGCTTGAAATCGTGAATATAAATTACATTTTTACCTTTTTCCTTGCCAGTTCATAAGCCCATCTCAATTAATTTTCATTAACAGTCGGATGCAAGAAGTTCCTTATAATGCAAATGAGGCAACTCGGAGTCATTCTGGAAATTCCTCAGGGAGCAATGAAGTCGAGCGCAACTTCAAACTTGCTTGGCGCTCCATAATAACAAGGTTAAATGATCCGTTGAAAAAGTTGCAGCCGAAAGATTGCTTCTTCTGATGTTTAAAAAGTTTGATGAAGTTCTACGTTATATACTGGTTGTTTCTTGTAGTTTTGGAAGTTTGGATTGAGTGGCGTATTTGACGTAAAGTAGGGGAACATTTTCGCAAGTTATGAAGTTTTCAACAGAGATTTTTATTAGGATCCAATGTCATAATGAATAAAGAGGGTCCTAAGGATAGGCTGCCCTTTTGAGCAATTGGATTTTTAAAGCGCCAGCAAGTGGCTACAACGTTCATGAAAATCATTAATAATGTTGTTGCATCTAATACGAGCAATTAACTGCATGAATTTGCTATCTACTTTTCTGACAACTTGAAACCAGTTCCAACATTTCTTATCCATTATTTAACTTTGTTCCTTAATATTATGGGAACATACATTAAATCATTGCCTGTCCTCATCCTAATACGGTCATACTAATTTGTGTTAAACATAAATTCTAGTACCGTCATCATAAACTTTCTTATTTGCATTTCTTCTCTACAAAGCTCATTAAAAATAACGAAGAAAATGTAAAAAATAGTTAGGTCCCATGTGTTTATACCTATTTAAAATTTACTATGTACAATTTGATGACTTATTGACTCAGCTGAAGACAATAACATTCGCCAGCTTTTGTAGGTACGCTAGATGCTAAAATGACCATTCGTGACCCATTATTCGTAAACCGGACAACTCTCCTAAAGAGGACTTCTGGTATCATTGGATCTGCATTCTCTGTAGCTGCCAAATGTAAATAGTAGCTTAGATATCTACTACGCCGATGTGGAGCATATGCGCAGTTCGCGCCACCATGTAAATTGTTTATCCATGATTATGGTTTAATAATAGAAATAGTTTTTGTGCAGTACTGAATTTTCATTATTATTCTTATACTATCTTTGAAAGTAAGCCTTTATGCCAGTATACTTTCTCAAATGACAATATTCTAAATTCATCTTGGAATCGTTGTTTATTTTGAAATTTCATTGAATAATTGGAGAAACTATTAAAAGGACATGGTGTTGATAGAATGGAAAAAAGCGGGAAGCATAAAATCAAGTAGACGTACCGAAGCAGCAGCATAGGCAAAAGCCTAAATGCTGTAAGGAACTTAAATACACTATATTAATCCGAGTTTTCCTCAGGCAGACTGTTCCTCAATCTCGAAACTCTAGAGACAAAGGAGCGGTTGTACAGGTTCCACACGGTCAGGATGGGAGTCGGGCCGGTCTGCCGACGGACGTGAGTGCGAAATGGTACCGAGACTGTCCGTTGGAGAAGAGCCATCGATCAGTCGGACAACCCTCCTCTGAACAGCATCGAGCACGGATTATGTAGTTGGGGCGGTTGTGTCTTGTACACAGTAAGAACGTTATGTGATGAAAAGTACCTTTAAGCCTTAAAAAAATATCCTAGCTTGTTTGCAGCAGCTCTCACGATAGACCAGATGTGTTCATGCTAGAACAAGTCCTCAGTGATCTGGAAACGATCAGCTGAAATAGGCGGCTGCGATTTTTTCGCTAAGAAATAAAAAAAAAACGATGTACATATATGGTTTAAATATATCCTGTATATTTGAATAAATATAAAATCTTAATTAAAGACTGTTAATATTTATTAGGGATCGGAATTTGGCACATATTTTTCGAATCAGGGGTTTTTGGAGATTACTTTTTTAGTATTAATATTCAACGATCACACAATTTATGAATTTGTAAAGCAAATGATTAGTATAACAAAGACATTTTATAAGCCAATAAAAAATTGACTTTTTTCAGGTTAGCAGAAACATACTGTATACGTCCAAGATGTTTGTTTACAAACAATATTCAGATTTGCAATGCATAATAAAAAAGTGACATGATCCATTTGTAACATTAGTAATCAAATAACAAATGCAAAAATATCATTATTTGTTTGACATACTATACCGCCGGATCAATTTTAATTGAATTGTCGAGTTATTTTGCGACGCATAAAATGAGCTATATCCAATCAACTATTTTTTTACAGAAAATAATCGGAATATAAATGACTAAAATTATTTTTTTTGTTTGAACGAAATTCCATTTTGGTGTACAAAGGTTACATGAAAGAATAAGTTTTCTGTTTGCCGTGCGAACAAATATTATTTAATGGCTAAAATAGGTCCGAAAATACGTTAATTACTGAATATGTTTGCCAAAAACGCACAAAATTTATCAAAAACAACAATATAAAGTTCAAAAGGACAATGCTGCTTGCCAGACAAATATTTCGTTGTCTCAATAGCAAAGCGTGCCAATGTTTACAGTTTACTCCTTTGATCCAGCAACATAATTGTGTCTGACAACTTCACAATAATGCGAATATTTTGAGATGAAATATGTGTTTGTATTTCCAGAAGGATAAAATAAGAGTCAAGTCAAGTAAGTTGACTCTGCATTTCCTACACAACCCCGTCATCAGTTCATAATGGATTAAATTAAGCTCAGCGCAATTTAAATGCTTTCGGAATCAATTCAGCCAAAAATGAAATTGAAATTAGTCCACAGCCATTATTTCCCTGCCTTGCCGGTAGTTATTGGCAACGTTGTCCCTTCGCACATTTGCGCGGTAGCGCCCACCGCGGCACCGCTGCAGCGAGTTATAGTTCATTCCGTGTATAAGTTTTGTGCGCTGCAGTTCAGAAAACATTTTTCATATACCCTCCCCAGCCCCCTAAAACCCCAGAATTTGAACCCCTACAAAAATTTTATGAAAATGATCAGAAGCCCCTGAAACGGCACAAAAAGAACTTTGAGCGATTTTTATTTTATCCATGATTTTACCCTAGCTCCGTCGCCACTAGTCCGATTTTCACAAACTACAAAGCTTTTTCGTCCTGGACATGATAGTGACCTTGTGTAAAAAATTTCATACAAATCCGAGAGATACTTCCCAAGTTATGGGCGGTCCGACTGAAAAGAGTTGACACGGTTTTTCGTGATGTGCATAACATCCAAAAACCATATCTCTACTGAAAATTTCGCGATTACAATACATCCTCGCCTAGTGGCGTAGGAAGTAAAACAGCACATTTTGTTATCGAAATATAAGCGTTCGAGGAAAAACCGTTTCTCATTAATATTCAGCATGCTAAGATTCCAGGATATTATTCCTCGAATACTTTTATAAAGGCGCCTTTAAATATGGAATTTTTTTGTTATACGAGAAAATTTTAATGGAGAAATATAGTAATAGGGACTTATTTGCATTTACAAAAAATTAAAATAAATTAAAAATGTCAGTTAACGATTTCTGGAAAAAACGCAAATATAATACTGTATGTTAACAAATAGCATTCACCAATATTCTCGGGTTATCAACTGACATTCTGTTAAAATATCATGCCCATATACAAATTTTTCAGAACTGTATGGAAAAAGTACAGTTCTATTTTATATTAATACGACACATTGCCAAAGAATATAAATACTCGTTACTAGAATCAATTAAGAGGTTTTGAAAGTATTGAATGTCTAAATGAGTGATAAAAGAATTATTTTTCAAGGAATATTTCAAAATTCTATTGATGGTCGAACGAAACTCTAGTGGAATATGGAGATTATGGTATTCTACAAAAATGCACAAATCAAAACTTGGTAACATTGAACTTGTTTTTTGATCGAAAAATAGTCTCTATGTACCGCTAAATTTTCCGATACACCAAATATTCAAATGTTAATGACATACATTCCGTTAATATATGTCATGCCCTAAACATACATAAAAAAATGATGAAAAAAACTGTACCCTGTCATCCCCATCATCGGATCGTCCCAACTTGTTCACGACAACTTTAACTAAAAGCGCGATCACTAATGATACGAAACCGTAATAAAGCACCGAAAGTTCCGTCGAACCACTACCGAGCGTTACCTTGGGGGCCTCCATAGTTCTTCTTTGCTACCACAAGACTGACTGACTGCCTAGCAACCTCTTCTTTCTTTCCTTCTCCTTCGAAGTTTATTTTAGGCGCAGCACTTAGACAAAGTTAAGCACGCGCGCCACACACCGAACGCAAAGATTTCTTAGGAGTTCGATGGGAGTCAGATCGGGTGCGTGAAATGGCCGCACTGCGCGGATATGTGCAGTATTTATAGAGGTTGTATGGGAGAGGGAGCGATCAAGCGTGTTTAACAGATATGCATGGTGGCATAGTAACATGGTTGATGCGCAATGGTGAGTCCCTGCCAAATGCTGTCTCAAGAAATCGAACGCAGTTTCTGTTTACCAGGTGTTGTAAATACAAATTTGAATCTCAACATTTGGATAGCGGAAACAACATAAGGTTCAATCAGGGATTTGTTTCTATGGAACAGTCAGCTTGTTAATCCATTTCTGGACTGCCTAAGGTTATTAGAACTGGGAGAAGCCTCATCAGGCAGATTGCTCCACAATCTCGACACCCTGGGAACACAAGAGCAGTCGTACCGGCCATTTTTGGATGCATCAAGTTCGACACGCTTGGGTTGGCAGCACCCCAAACATGTGAGCAGTACTCGAGGATGGGTGGAGAAAAGTACTTCTTAGCTCTAAACAACGTTTTTCTAGGAGCTGCAGACAAGATGTGTTTGTGCCAAATAAAGTCCTCGGTGATCTGGACTCCGACCAGCTGAAATGGACGACTCTTGGGTAGAACTCGTTAGTCAAGGTACAGTACTGTGTTCTGGAAGCATTATACTGAATCAGATTGTTGCGTCCCAAACAGTGATAATAGGAAAATAATTCTTAGAAAACCTAAAATGGAATATTTGACTGGGCGAATAATTTGCATTCGAGGGAGATTTTACACTCGCCCTCCCATCTAAATCGGCCAATAGTCTACCTTCAAGTTCTATCCTTGCAAAATCGTATTTCGATGGTAGACAATAATAGTTGTAGTAGCCCGACTAAATTTCTATTAGAGCATCAGCCGCAGCAGCTTTGGATTAGAATGGCACAAAGCTCATTAAATTTTGATCAAACACCCGATAAAACAAGATTATGGTGATGAGCACGGTTCAGGTGTAACGGAGAACTGTCTCAATGTCTGGAACGGAACAGAGTGAATACAACACGACCAAATTGTCTGCCAACACGACAAACTCTACAACTATTGATCTGCAGACATAGACGTAGATGCACACAGCTTTCGATAGTACGGAATCTGACGGTACTCAACAGTAGTATTACCACTAGCCCCTAACTCCGCCGTCATTGGACAGGTTTTTTAAAACTACAGTAGAACCCCGATTATCCGAAATAATGTTGGCCCAAGTGCTTTCGGATAAAACGGAAATAAATATTTAGACTTATAATGATTTTATTGAAAAAAAAATCGTGTTTCAAGTGAGTACAGTAGAACCCCGATTATCCGAAATAATGTTTACCCAAGTACTTTCAGAAAATCGAAATTTCGGATACACGGAAATAAATATTTAGACTCATAATGCTTTTATTGAAAAAAGTAAATGCGTGTATTAAGTGAGTATATACCTACATAAAGTTACGTAAAATATGAACATGTGGATACAAACATAGATATTTACGACTATTTAGTAACAAAGGAAGTAATTTTTAACTGTACACGTTTTGCATTGTTCCTATTTTTGGCAGCAATATCCCTCCAACGTTTGATAAGTAGCACATCAGCTGCTGTCGCATTTTCTTGTTGTTCGATGTAGGTAGAGCTTCTAATCCCTCAGAATGTGATATTTTGGCAGATATTTTTGTCTCATTGTCACTAGCATCACGTAAAACTGCCTCTTCGGTATTGTTTCAGTTTTTATTAGTTCTGTATCAGTTAATTCTTCCACCAATTCCACTCACCAACATCTGCTTGAGTCAGATTTTCACACCCTGCTATTTTTACGACGAGCTCATGTAAGCTTTCGTTGTTATTCTCATAATATGCGCAAGGTTCCATTTCTTGCATAATTATTGTCGACCAAACCATTATCAACTTGATCTAAAATTGCTCTAATAACAAACGTAATTGCGTTTTAAATTTTCTAAAACTCCTTGATCCATTGGCTGAATCAGTGACGTTACATTAGGAGGCAAAAACATCACTCGTATTTCTCTACTTTTAAGTTGCTCCTCACTTGGGTGGTTCGGATCATTGTCTAATAGCAAAATACATTTTCTCGGATATCTGCGACTTGGGAAGAAAATGATTGTAAAACCAGTCCCCAAATAGAGCGGCATTCATCCAGGCATTTTTTTTATACAACACTGGAAGAGCGTTGAGACGGACCTGTTTAAGTGCCCTTGGTTTAGCTGATTTTGCGATTAACACCAAAGGAAGTTTGCAAAATTTTATAGTTTAGGCCCGTTTCGTCGCAGTTGCAAATTTGTTCTGGATTTTAACCATACTGCTTCATTAATTCTTTAAAATGTTCTTCCATTTTAATGCAGAGGACTTATCGGCAGATAACTTTTCTCCGCAAACTTTTAATTTTCGTATACCGTGTCGTTTTTTCGATCTACGCAGACAACCATACCTGGCACACTGGCTGTAAAGTTATCAGGCGCCTCAATAACTGGCAATTCTTCACTTAAGTTGACTGCCTTTTGCTTTAGAATTGATCCGGAAATTGGTATTCCACGTTCTCGATTCTGTGTAAACCACAGATATAAACCATCATCCACTTTTTGATATTCCCCCTTTTTCGTATTTTTCCGTGGCGGCTGCGATGTCAGAACACTAGACCACTTTTCAATTTCCTCGCGTTGTTTTTCCATTCTGAAATTGTATTCACGCCCACACCCAAATCGCTTGCCACGTTTTTAAGCAAACCATCTCAATCTAAACGTCTGATTGCCCCAAGTTTCTGTTTTATGGTAATAACAACGCGTTTACGTTTATTTCTATGCTGCTCCATCTTAGCGATTATGATCCTGACTGAAACAAACATACACGCACACATACCAGTGAATTCCGCACACGCGCTTGGGGAATCACCGGCAGCGAATCTAATGACGCAAACGCCGAAAGGGGAACTACCGGCGGCTATTTCGGATCATGCGCCGATTTCTCGAACAACGTCGGTTAAAACGGAGAAATTATTGTATGCGAACTGTTTCGTATAAAGCGGATTTCTGATAATCGTGATTCGGGTAATCGGGAATCTACTGCATCAAGCTTTTTCGTGCTCGGCATAGTAGTAACTTTTATTAGAATTTCATCATAAACCCATCGGTACTTTTCAGACAGGCCAAGGATTAGCGGGCAGACCGACCGACAGACAGACGGACCACGCGACAGAGAGCGGCAGACATACCGTCAGACCGACCGACCGATAGCCACAAAGAGTTAATATAGTGGCGCCTATAGTAGAAATTGCATCACAGGCGCAACCAGCAAATATCGTACTTATTGACAGAATGCCGCTTGGGTGTAATAACGGAGCATTACCGTTCAATTTTACAGCGAAAGAACGTCAAGGCAATAGTCACGAGACATTGCACTTTTATGTGCAAATAACAAAGCCGGAGAAGAATACTTTTACACTTTATTGCTACTGAAGGTGTCCCGTATAGTGCTGTCTTCTAATTTTTATGTATTGAAAATGCGGAAAGAATTTAGTTTTACTTCAGGGAAGCAGTCCCAATTTATACAATGTTTCAATTGACAACTAGAAAAGGCAGGAAGATATAAAACAATAGAAAAATCCAATATAGACTAGAAGCTACGCAATTTATTAGGAAACACATTGAATCACTTGCACAATCTCTGGTTCCAGCAGGATGATGCAACATGCCACACCAGCCGTGAAACAATCGATCTTTTACACACTAAGTTCGGTCATCGCGTTATCTGCCGTTTTGGAGACGTTCATTGGCCAGCCCGCAGCTGTGATTTGACGCCCATGGATTACTTCCTATGGGGGACTGTTAAGGACCGCTGTTACATTAACTATCCTCAAACAATTGATGTTCTTAAGGAAAATATCCGTAGAGCTATAAATGAAATAGACCCACAAACTATCGAAAATGTGCTTCAAAATTGGGTTAAGAGGATGGAGCCAGGCCAGCCGCGGCAGCCATTTAACTGAAACTGTTTTTTTAATAATCGGAAGGTGTATTCATTTGAATAAAGTATCGAGTGTTACATATTATTGAAGAATGTAGTTTTAATACCAACTTGAAAAATAAACCAACGGATGGCCCACCCTTTATTTCGAAGCAAAGCCAAATGTGACACTTAAAAAGGCCAAAACATTGGTAAATCTTCAATTCTAGATCAGTGATTTTATTTGGCATAGATGTTCATAAAGTCATAGGTTTTTATTTATAAAAAAAACTAGAAAATTGTATCAATATGAGATGTATCACCCTATATATAGGTGAAACAAAATGAAAATCCGCGGCCTAGAATATACATATCCAGCCTACATGACGGCAAACCTCCACAGTCACAGTCGGCTTAGAAACAATGCAGTGGGCCGACAAAAAAATATCTGCAACTCGGACTCAGATGTCTCGATGTGCATAGGTGGGTATGAGATGGATTTTTATTCGGATATGAGACTCGCTCGCTTCCTGGCTGGCCTAGAATAAATTCTACAGTTTTTGAAGAATTTTTATGAATGGACGGTGATGAGGGACAAATTTTTACTTCTGAGAAGGCGTATGCTAAGCTGTTATATGATATTCATGATCTTGAGAAACTTTCAATAGAACAATATTTGATAAGATTTCAAAATGAGAGCATCTTGTAACACACTATGACAATAGCCCTTTATAAAATTAACCATTTGTCCAATTGGAATAAGGTGAGAAATAAGATCTTTCGAAGCTGTTTGATCAGTCGGCATCGTTTTGACAAAAAACATCCACAATTAATTCCCTATAGCCTTTTCTCCAATATTAGTGTAATTATGAACTACCAAGCAATTTTCAATGTATTGGTTATTGGAATATCCGCCCATTCAAATCGACAATTTCCTAGTAATTAAAAGAAAGAAAATACGCTCACACCTATAACAATTGATAAACGACTGAACAGTGTATAAACGCCCATCATAGATCAGTCAACTAACCGCCTCTTCATGAACGCAATTCAACCACTAACCA